TCCAGCCTGGCATTTCTCATGATGTACTCTGCATATAGGTTAAATAAGCAGGGTGACAGTATAGCCCAAATAACTAAATTAGAGCGTTATACTCCAAAATTAGGCAATAGACACATTGCAGCCATACTATATGTAGACAGTGTAGTGTTTCTGTGTGGAGTCCTTGATGGTTTCTGACCTCGGTTGTTTGCTTGCAGACTTTTCATCCCTGACTAGGTAACATCATCAGTGCTAGTGGGTACGGGGTTTGTTCTCTTTATATACAGTAGCTTTCCCTGCCAGTATTGGTAGGGGTGTGGTTTTTCTCCATGGTAGTTCCTTGATTAGGGTATTGTTTTCTGCTTAATTATTTGTCTGGTGTTAAGAATTAAAAACAGGAGTTATCTACAACATACAGTGTAAGGACTGTAATAGCCATTACGTAGGACAGATAGGCAGAAGGCTTGCAGAATGCATCCACGAACACCGATTAGCAGTCAGAAGACATGATGAAAACTCCTTAATCTCACAACACATGGACAGACTCAACCATAGTTTCAGCTGGAAACTGTGAGCATCCTAAACCATGCTAAATCCAATAACTCTAGGGAATTCCTGGAAGCCTGGCATTCAGACAAATCAGCCATCAATAGACACATAGAGATAAGCCACATTTACACACCATTCAAAAGAGACAATAAAAAAGCTAAGAAGGAAACAAAAAGACCAGAACGCATTCTCTCCAGCAACCAACACCCAGATAGGCAGGGAGTAACACTAGACAAACAATCAAGCAGAAAACAATACTCGAATCAAGGAACTACTATGGAGAAAACCACACCCCCACCAACACTGGCAGGGAAAGCTATAAACAGATAGCAAACCCCACTCCTTACTATCACTGAAAATGTTACCTAGCCAGGTGATGAAACATCTACAAGAAAACAACTAAGCTCAGAGAGCACCAAGAACTCCACAATTCAACCCTGAGCTACAGATATTCTCTTCTATTAGTGTTTATATAGCAAACCATCTGTTGGGCTTAATGAAACCTGAGTGGCCAGCCAATCCCTTTCTGAGGATGTTCTTGAGATAATCTGTTCTAAAACCAAGATCTTAATTTTTGCAAAGTGACCTGGAGTGCACACCTGGTGTTTTAAAGGCCAGATTATACAGCAGATAATTTGTTTTCAAATACTTGGGCCAGGGTCACTAAAACTTTATTTGGCCAAAGCACATATGTAGTTACTTCTGGTGCTCAGTTGAGACTTTACAGCACTTTTGCTCCACTGGAAAGGGTCCAATCCAAATTTCTAAAGGCTTTATTCCAAGTGGTCCTAGGCTTTCCTAAAGTAGCATTAAAGAGGGAGGCAGGCTTGACCAACGTTGAAACAGGTGCATGGAGTTGCATTATTGCATAAGGGTTGAAGTTCACGTTCTTTTCCAAAGGTCTGAGTTCTCTCCTTGATGGGACAATTATGAATCCATATGGAAAAAGACAATTCTGCAAAACTGCAATACAATGATTTCTCTAGGGCGGCTTTTTCTAATGATGGGCTATGACCAAGCACTCACTGCACTTAAGCAACATGTCCAAGATCTGGAGGTCAGAATGAATCAATCTGTTCTACCCAGGAAGATTTTCTGAGCAGCCAGGCCTCTTTCATTAGGCCAGTGGGGTACATACACTGTATTACTTCCCCTAAGCTCCAAAGAGTGCTAACCTTCAAATGCTTTAATGTCCTTATAGGACATTCATGAGGTCAGATATTTTTAAAAATCCCTTGTAAGCAAAGACTGGGTCCTTGCAGAGAAGGCTCTATTGAATCCAAAGTCTATGTCCTGTTACATTGCATTTTTATAAGAGTGCAATTGTCTACCTTATAACTCTTTATTTAAAAAGGATCCAGGCAGTTCTGATTCATTCTGTGTGCAGCTTCTATTATCAGTCCAATATGATTCAGTTACTATGAACATGGCCAAATTTAAAACCAGGCATATTTCGATTCCACCTACAGTCTTGCCATGAACTTATACTGTTTTGTTTTCTCTGCTGCTAATTATTATTATGCTGTCGGTGACCATAGTAAAGTTAATACACACAAAAAAAGCATGTATCGTGAGATGCACACAGAATTATCTATCATGATGTCTGTGCTGTTATCATGACTTCTAGCAGATGCCTGTGAAAATGTATATTTAAAATATGGTATAGTTTTCCTCAGAATTAAGTGTTTCTAATTTAATCCAGAAATAAAAGGATTAGGATTTTTCCTTTTAGTATTAGAATGGGAAAAATAGAACACATCATCAATCTGTTTGTAGTGAATTAACATTATGTGTGTGTGTGTGTTTGTGTGTGCCCCTTTGAGTCAGTGTTGACTCCCGGTGACTGCCCAGATTAGTCCCTGCAGTTTTCTTGGTAAGATTTTGGAAGTGGTTTGCCATTGCCTGCTTCCCAGGGCTGAAAGTAAGTGACTGGCCCAAAGTCACCCAGCTGGCTTCATGCCTTAGGCGGGACTAGAACTCACAGTCTCCTGGATTGTAGCCTGATGCCTTAACTACTACACCAAACTGGATCTATTAAAATATGTCTTAATTAACATTAAGAGTCTCCAAAATTGTAAAATGATATATCAATTCTCTAAAATATTTGATAGTGGCAACACAATATCAAGTATTTTTTTTTTAAAAAAATGTGTGGTAAAATACTATACATCTCTCAACATTAAGTATAACATAATGTTTTCCAAGTTTCAAAAGATGTACATGATTTTCTTTCATCTTATGAAAATTATGGGGTAAAATATGTAAGCTACATCCAGGCAGTTACCAAGAGTCAAAACTGACTTGAAGGTACAAAATCAATCAATCAAGCCTCCTAAACCATATTGGAATAGTAGGTAAATTCTGCTTTGTCTTTGACCAGGGCATTTAGGGGTGGGGAAGGGCTCAAAAAAGGCAAGATGGCAACTGCACAATTGAAGCCAATAGAAGAGAATTCGTATCGCATGGGTGATGCTCGTAAAAAGGGAGATGGCTTTGATTACAAGATATTTGTAGCAACCATCTTGACTTTGCAGATGCCCTGCTAATGAGCTCGTATTATCAAGCTGATATTCTCTGAAACAAGAATAAATAAAGGAGATCAACTTTAAGTTGTCTTGAAAAATAAGTCTACTTGATTGGTAGACCATCACCATCGGTTCTTGGCAAAACCATGCATGCTATAGCAAATGCAGCTACCTTGTATGGTTACAGATACTTTACCACTCATCCTCCCTTGAAGGCCATGCAAAATACTTGTCTCGTAACATGTAAGCTATATTACCTATCTCCAGTGATTTGTTAAGAAGCTGGAGCACCTAATGTCTTCACCTAAAAATTTGCCCCCTTTGTTTTATTTTTTGTTTGTATGTTTACATGTCTTATTGTATGTTTACAATAATGTTGTATGCAACATTGTATGTTGAATCCCAGCAGGCAGCTACATTGCCCCAATAATTGAAATAACTAGTATCTTAGAAGTACCATTTGCTTGGATTCAATCTCATGCCTAATTTTATATACTTATTTCTACCTGTGGTCAGAACTTTTTCCCTTGGGTTCATTTAATAACACTTAGCACTGCCAGAGATTTGGTGATGTACTTTGTATAAAAGTGATGAGTGATTGCAGTATTTCTCAGAATTAAGATCGACAACTTTTTTTTTTGGCCAATATGCCTACCAGAATTAAAATTGCTAAAATATTTCGATATTTTGAGTGAGATTGTTGCAATACCATTTTCCTATGTGAGATTGAGATGTTGGTGTTTTCATTAAAAAAAAAAATCACAAGATATCAGCTATTTATTTTTAATTTTTCAAGTTATTTTGGAGCGATCAGTGTTGCTTCTTAGAGACCTGGTAGACACGTAGGCACTATGCTGCCACTTCCTGGCCCATGAATTGAACAATATTTTGCACCTGTATTACTGTCAAATGGCTTGATAACAGAAGAAAGGAAGATGAAAGGTCCTTCATGTTTGAGTCACTGGGAATGCTGTTAGTGCTGAATAAGTGCAGTTAGCAGGGCCAGAATTAAAGTGTGTAGGACAGCTTTCTCACTCACCTTCTAATGCAGTATCCACTGATTTACTGCATGCTTTTCTTTTCCAATAGAGAGAATAACAGAGGTGAAGACAGACATCTACGTCACCAGTTTTGGTCCAGTTTCAGACACTGAAATGGTAGGTTGAACTGCAAGACCCTAAACCTCTCCTGTTATTGTTGGTAGAATAATTTGACAATGGATCCTCATGAGTTATGGTGCTTATGCAACTGTCTCTTTTTTATACCAGGAGTATACTATTGATGTTTTTTTCCGACAAAGCTGGAAAGATGAAAGGCTTCGATTTAAAGGCCCAATGCAACGTCTGCCTCTTAACAATCTCCTGGCCAGTAAGATCTGGACCCCAGATACTTTTTTCCATAATGGCAAAAAATCCATCGCTCACAACATGACCACTCCCAACAAGCTACTGCGCCTTGAGGATGATGGAACCTTGCTGTATACAATGAGGTGAGCATATTGACAGCTGATGTCCTTTGATGCCCATTCTGCATTCTTCATAACAGAAAGCAGGAAAAAGCCCCCACACCTACGTATGACAATGTCCAAGTTCAGTGGAAATCATAATCACACTTTTCAATTAGCAATTAATGTACAATGTTGAACAAAACTGTTTTTAATTAAACCCTTCCCACCTCCCACGATATTCATCACTGGTTTAAATCTTAAGCTAAATAGTTTAATCTGCCCCTGATTTTGTATACTTTTGATCATTTAAATCAGTGATTCTCAACCTTTTTGAAGCTGCCGCCCCCCCTAAGGAGCGGAAATTTTTTCAACGCCACCCTTTGGGGAGGGGGGGGAGTTACTGAATTATAAAAGGCAAAATTTTTAAGTAATTTTTTTCAGTAGACTTACACACCAAATTTGTTCGATTTAACTCGATACTTTTGCCCTGGAAGGTAATTGCATTAATTCAGTAACTCCCCCCCCTCCCCAAAGGGTGGCGTTGAAAAAATTTCCGCTCCTTAGGGGGGGCGGCAAATTCAGTAACTCCCCCCCCTCCCCAAAGGGTGGCGTTGAAAAAATTTCCGCTCCTTAGGGGGGGCGGCAAATTGCATTCCTTTTATTAAAATTAAAATGACTAATGCAAAAAAAATGAAGTGAACGAAAAGCAACTCAAGAAACACGGGTCAAATCAAACATTCATATTGAAAGGACGCTCAACACACACACTGCGATTAATCATGCGGGAAGACAGCTGGCACACGCGCTGAGATTAATTGCGCGGGAAAACAGCCGACGCATGCGCTGTGCTGGTTGGGATCGGAGAAGAATCGTAGTGTCGAGTTCTTCAAGGTCATCCTACCTAGAATACAAATTCGTCTCACCATTCTTAGAAGTGCGTGAGGGCAGCTGTCGCATAAGTTCGTTTTATTGCTGGTACAAATGGTGTAAACCGGATAATCGATTTAATACATTTTTGGGGGAGTTTA